AGTATATGAGTGTGAGTGTGTTTGTGTGTGTGTGTGTGTGTGTGCGTGTTTATGGGTGCATGAGTGCGTGCCTGTTTTTTAGTTTTAAGATGATATTATATTTTATATTGCTGCTTTTACTCTGTTAATTTTTCAGAAAAAACAATAAAAACAGAAAAAAAAAAAAAAAAAAAAACATTTGCATGGGCGCAATCTTAATTTACGCATAAATACATGACCTCTAGGTCATTGGCTTTGTTTAAAATGGCGCACACAACTGTAAACTGGTGTATTTGGAAGATGGAGGGGTCTTAGTTTAAAAGTTTTTTTTTTTTTTTTTTTTTTTTTTAAGTTTTGAATAACCGTGTCTGGAGGAAACACTACGCTCAATACTCATGTTCTTCCAAAGGAATAAGATGATGGGGTCTTAGTTTTGAAGATTTTTAAAAAGTTTTGAAATAACCGGGTCTGGAAGAAAAACTACGCTCTAAACCCATGCTTTATTACCGGGTCTTAGTTTGGAAGATGGTGGGGTCTTAGTTTAATTTTTTTTTTTTTTTTTTTTTTTTTAACTTTTGAATATCCGGGTCCGGATGAAAGACTACGCTCGATTATCATGTTATTCTACAGGAAAAGGATTACGGGGTCTTAGTTTCGAAGATTTTTTTAAATTTTTGAATAACCGTGTCTGGAGGAAACACTACGCTCAATACTCATGTTCTTCCAAAGGAATAAGATGATGGGGTCTTAGTTTTGAAGATTTTTAAAAAGTTTTGAAATAACCGGGTCTGGAAGAAAAACTACGCTCTAAACCCATGCTTTATTACCGGGTCTTAGTTTGGAAGATGGTGGGGTCTTAGTTTAATTTTTTTTTTTTTTTTTTTTTTTTTAACTTTTGAATATCCGGGTCCGGATGAAAGACTACGCTCGATTATCATGTTATTCTACAGGAAAAGGATTACGGGGTCTTAGTTTCGAAGATTTTTTTAAATTTTTGAAATAACCGGGTCTGGAGTAAAGACTGCGCGCTATACCCATGCTTTATTACAGGGTTTTAGTTTTGAACAAATTCGACAAAATATCACTTCAAATTTATTACATTTGTGGGTAAAGTGGTTATTACATTTGTGGGTGAAATTATTACATTTGTGGTTAAAGTGTTATTACATTTGTGGGTGAAATTATTACATTTGTGGTTAAAGTGTTATTACATTTGTGGGTGTTATTACATTTGTGGGTAAAGTGTTATTACATTTGTGGGCGTTATTACATTTGTGGGTAAAGTGTTATTACATTTGTGGGTGTTATTACATTTGTGGGTAAAGTGTTATTACATTTGTGGGCGTTATTACATTTGTGGGTGTAACACCCCTCCCTCTTCCAACATGTCTAGATCCGCTACTGCCTCGCATCCAGCTCAAGTTGCAGCCTCCTTATACGCCTGTTCTGAACCCAACAGAAATTGCCCATTCTGCTGTCAACAGGTTTTTTTTCCGTCCAGAATGACAACGTCGAGTTTTCACACTGGAAATATTTTGCTTAACCCCGTACTATAGGTGGGGTTAAGCCTATTCCACTTTCTGGTCAGACTGGCTTTTACCAAAGTGGGCTAAAGTTGGCTAACCCCACCTATAGTACGGGGTTAACTAACCCTGCAAAATAGCAGGGCTAACTCCGCAATTGTGGTGCTAACTCCTGCTAACCCCGCAATTGCGGGGCCAAGCAAATGAATGAGAACAGAAACGAAAAATAGTCCGGTACTTGCAATGGAACGTATCGCAGCGGGCCAGATGTGAAGTATGTCCAATCATAACATTTACGATATCCGGGGTTAACGAATTGCAATGAGAACAGCGTGAATTTTCTTATTCCGGAATTGGCGCTAGTACGGGACTAAAAACAGCGTGTGTGAAAAGCCAAACAAAATAGTCCGGGGTTAAGGATAGTACGGGGCTAAAGCTATGGTCACAAATCAGAGCAGCGACCGACCGATCAGTAGCCTGCTCGGTCGCTGCTGGAATTAGGCATCGCCCAGCGATTAGGTCGGTGCCCGGGCGGCGACCGCCCAGGCACCGAGCGTATTTTGGACGGCGAGTGAAAAGTGAGCAGGCGCCGCCCAAATTTTAACTCCGCTCTAAAACTTCAGCGGCGACCGAGCGATACCCTAAAACGAGCGGTGTCTGGGCGGCCGCTGCTCGGTGGCCGGGCAGCCGCCGGGCAGAATTGGTTAAAAACTCGCCGCTCGGCCGCCGAGCAGTCTACTTTTGGGTAATGTGACCATAGCATAAGCAAAGTACGGGGTTAAGCAAAACCAGTGTGAAAAGAGTATAACGACCGGGCAGTGCATGGCTCAACATGCAGGTATGAACATGCAGCAGTGGAGGTGTGACCTCATCCAGCGTGTCGGAATGATGAATGTAAATGTCATCACCAAAGAGAAGTGTACCCAGTGGTTCCGTTACACTCATGTTCTATATGCCACGATGTCTTGGCCGTCAACAATTTGAAGGTTAAAAAGAACATACAGTTCACATAAAGGTATGTTGCTTTATGAACTATATACATATTTTTTCAGGAGAGTTTGAGTAAATAGGGCAAAGCATGTTCCTCGAAGTATTCAAGGATCAAGTTTACATAAAGTGTTACCGATCTTCAGAGGATATTCATGCCTTTGTATTACAACAATTAATTTCAGATTTACAGGAATCAGTGTCGAAATTCAAGTCAGAAGTGCTGATTATTTACTGTACACCAAAATACCCTATAACTGTAATCATTTTGGGGTATATACCGGAATGTTAGATTTTATCAATGTAACAACAAAAAGTTAAACACATCATCATATAACTTGCCCTTTACTCATGGCACACACATATTAAACACAAAGTTGTAAACAGGGTATGAGCAGCCTTGATAAATCTGTATAGGAAGAGATTTAGTCTATTAAAGATAAACTCCAGTTCTGGTTAAAAAAAATCTAAAAAAAATCTCACAGAATCAAACGAAACTTACACTGAATGTTCAAGATTACAAATAAATGACATGTGCCAAACAATTTTGGAAGAAAATGTGCACTGGCTGCGAAATGAGCATAGCAAGACAAGGAGATCAAGGTAGTACTAGCCCCGACCCCATTTGTGTTGTCCCATATATAGCTTTCCGTGTACAGTGTTTGCTACTTTACCAAGACTTGGCCAAATTTATTATGATTTTGATGACTCCAGAACCTTGCAGAGCACACAAATACTTACATGCTACATGATCAACTGTTTCTGATCCATTCTACACCTTTTCTTTCACAATACAATCGAATTACCAGAACTCACCTTTATCTTTAAACAAAAAATGTCCAACTGTTATTCACAAGGCACTTCGATGAAAATCAACACTGGAAACAATTTGCTAAATTCCGACAATTCTTTTAATCAGCAACTCCAACAATGGTGTACAATTCACCTTAATATATTTTGTATAACCTTCAGATAACAATCTGTAATGATAATAAACAACCAAATAATAAACAAATCTTTCAGCCTGTAAGCATGTGAAAACACTACAGCTAAGTTGGTAAGATAATGATTACCATGCGTTAATACAGATTGAATATGACATGACACAATCTTAAAGTTAAACTTGATCGAATCTCTGTGTGAACACATCCTGTATTGAAGTTATGCAGTAAACAATTAGACAGTACACACAAGCACACATATGAGTGTGAGCAGGGCCACATTCAGACGTGATCCGTCAATTAAGTTCCTATGCTAAATAACTGACAAAGAAAATTGTTTCTTTCCTAAACACTTAATTTTGTTCTAAATTCGGCATAAACTTTATATACGTACCAGGACAACAATTATCCCCTGAAAAATCAACCCGGAAATTTACCCTCCGGAAAACTAACGTTCCCCCCCCCCCCCCTCAATTGTTTTAAGGGGATCGCCCCCCTCCCCTCAACATTTGAAAAAAGTTCCCAAAAAATGTATAGCAAATACTGACCAAAGACTGCAACACACTTTTAAGGCTTTGGAGGGCCCAAGAGTGCAGCGTTTAGACAAATGAAAATGCAAAAAAATCTCACTCGGTAGCTACGATTCCTCACATAATATTCTTCAAAGTGTACCAGTAAATGCCAAGCAAAGTGGAGTGTGTACAAGTATATTGCTTGTTTTTATACTGTAGTTTTGCTAATTAGGACTGTAATTTCTTAATACAACAAAACTTGAAAAACCTGTGAGGGAGTAGTCACTTCCGTCACCTTCACCCCTCTCATTCACTATTGCTCACTCGCACTTGCGTACTCATTGGGGGGGGGGGGGGGGGGGGGGGGGGGGGGGGGGGGGGCTTTGGGGGGGGGGGGCAGTTCCCCCCCCCCCCGAAAAAAAAAATCAAAAAATAAATAAATCAAACGTGGTTTATTTATAATTCGATACCAGTGATTTACAAATGTTGCTGAAATGGCATGATTTTTCCCTGATCTTCCGGGGCTCGGGCCCCTGGTTGTTCATCTGACCGTAATTAAATGCCTTAAACGCCTGATCTTCTGGGGGCTCTGCCCCCTGGACCCGACCAAGGGCCCTGAGACAGCCCCTGGATGCTCATCTGAACGTAATTTAATGCCTAAAATCCCTGAGCTCCTGGGGGCTCCGCCCCCTGGACCCCACTCCAATTAGTGACCTGCATTCCAGTGTCACATATAAGGTATCGAAATATGCTCATCTGACCTTAATAAATGCCTAAAACCCCTGAGCTTCATGGGGCTTTGCCCCTGGACCCCACGCCAATTTACGCTCCACTTTGCTTTGCTTTGCTCTACCTGATCATAAATACTTTAGCCCCCCCCCCCACTTTGAAAAACGTTCCCAGGGCCTGCGTAACATGTAGGAGTGGTGGTGATGTAAATTTGTTTCTGCCCCCCCCCCCCAAAAAAAAAAAAAAAAAAAAAAAAAAAGTTTTTGCTCATTACGCCACTGCTCTCTCGTTCTTCGAATTTCGTCCCCCCCCCCCGGTCATGAAAAGAAATCGCCGCCCCTGGTAATTGATTAAAGGGGGAGATTTGGAAGTGATTTAGGAGATGTTTGGTCTTTAGCAGAGGTAAGATCTCTCCCCTCTATACAACCAATTTGATCTATAGGGACCATTGGTAGCGATTTAGGAGGTGGCAGATCTGCGGCAGAAGTAGGGTTTCCTGGTTCCACAGGGGAAGTCATTCCACTTCTGCCTGTCAAAGTCATTGCTACCTCGGTTAAGGGGAGAAATACAATCTTCTCCCCTGTGGTTGTTAGGTTCGCCGGGATACCACAGGGAGTAATCCATAGGGGTCCCATCACTCCACTCAAAGAAGTTTTCGTTTTGCACGTCATGTAGTCCAATCCAATAGGCCTACGCGAGGGGGGAAAGGAGAATGATTACATGCAAATAAGTAACCAGTGACAAAATTGTATTATTATTTAACTTTGTATTAAAGAAAATCAAAGAACACATTAATGTACAACACATAAATAAACGAGTTTTAACAGGCATATTTCAATGGAGAAAAGGGCAATGTAAGCGAACACAATAACAATGCTATAAGAACATGCCTCAATTGTGTAAACATCTGATGAACATGAGTTAAATTCAATCATCAATTTCGCCAATGAAGACCAAATCTACCCTTATCATTGGATATTCTATACCCTAAATCCTGGTGGGACTAAATAATGAATGCCTTCAAACTACCTCATTTTGGGGAGGTCCATTTGAATCTGCAATTTTAAACGTAATATTGAAAGAGCTAATAGACTATACGGCAATAGATTATCATCTTTAACTAGAAAAAAGTTGTTATATCTATGGGTCTAAAGTAGGCATTATTTAATCAGTAATTGTAGTGAATTCTGGCCGATTCTTATAAATTGTTATCTCTCTTATATTCCCCACACTTTCTTATTTAAAGGAAACCCTAAACCACCATGATTTCGGTGTCATTTGGAAGTAAATTGAATTGTTTACTTTTTGAGAAAAGCATAACACTTCTAGCATAGTTAGCTTTCACCATAAAATTTATTTTCAGATGTGGAGGGAAGCCAGATTTGACCTGTGATGACCCTGAGAGGTAAAATCCAAAATGGCCGCCAGTCCACATGGTCTATTAAATGTACAAACACGCTTTAGAACCAAATAGTCCAGAAACAAACATGTTTAAAATGTCATTTCCAACTTAATTGGGGATATCAGTTCATTTGGTAATAATTTAGAGATCGACAGAAGTCAGGATTTGCAATCAGGTCAAGGTCAAATTAGGCCAACAAAGTGATTTGTATGCCTCCGCTACAAAGTACAGTATACGTATTGCGTTATCTCAAGAACGGATTGACGGATTCTCGCCAAACTTGGGTCATGTATGTATCTTGCAAAGCCAATGAACTGAAAAGATTTTGGCCCGTATTCTGAAGTCAGGTTTAGTTAAACCCAGGTTTAACTTTAAACCCGGGTTTAACTAAGCCAGACTTCAGGTCTAAGTATCATTTCAGTTTCTGAAAGCCAGGTTTAGTTAAACCCAGGTTTAAGTCTAAAACCCAGGTTTAAAGTTAAGCCAAGGTTTAACTACCATGGAGATGTAGTCTGCTTCTACTGCACATGCTCAGTACAGCTCATCCATCTTCAAGGGTAGCTGATATGGCCTTTATAGGCTTTGTTATAGCTGGATTTCGTGCTGCAAATTTAATAATTTCAATTCAAAATATTCGACACAAACAAATCTCTTTCGAAGCAACCATTGAACGTTATGACGTGATTTTTTGTTTTGTTTTACCCTTTGATTTATTGTTAAACTGCTGAAAAAGTCTGAATCGAGGTGGAATTGATCTTTACGAATAATAAATAATACAAAAATCGGGATTCTACAATTTCTGCATGCCCATGCAGATTAGTCAAAACTTCCAGAACAACATAAAAATGCTCTAAATAAGATTTAGATGACTAAAAGAGAAACTAAAAATGATCAAAAAGACCTTCTTGATGCAAAATAACTAGTCCAAAGTCAACATTGCTGAAGCTCATTTGTTTGATTTTTAGTTTTTTTTTAGGACAATGGAATCCTTTTTCGAACCGACATGTCGGGTATCATGATCCCCTTCTCGGTCACCGTGCGCGCATATCATCGATCGTGCGCGCATTCATTTGTACAAGTACACACGGTTTAGAAATATTGCATTGTCCTAACAAAAAACGCTTAAAATTCGACCATATTATATGAGCTTCAATGTTGACTTTGGACTAGTTATTCTGCATCAAGAAGGTATTTGTGATCATTTCTCTTTCAGTCATTTTAATCTTATTAAGGCCTAGGTCTAGATCTAGATCTAGACCTCTAGTGCATCGTTCGGGGCATCTTAAGGATGTTCTCGATGTTTTGACATCATAATATAAATAGACTAGGCGCGCCTAATTGGTCTAGGTCTAGAGTCTAGACTAGATCTAGGGCAGATTCTACCCAAAACTCTACTAGATCTAGGTCTAGAGTTCCGGCTTAATACACTCGTCGGCTCTTAATTATACTAATCCATGATTGTCTTATAAATATAGATTATTCTAATCCAACCTTAGGCCTACAGTTTTATTTTATCTCGCATTTGTTTACATCGTTGGGACGCAATTTGAAAATGTGTATTGCACTCACAGTTTCAAAACTACGTGAGCATAACGTCAAACTAAAGGTATGGGGCTACTATATTTGTTTTCCTCTGCAACAAAGTGATACGTGTTGATTTACTTTGGCAACTTTTTAGTTTCAAGGATTGTCGTACTATACAAATCACACAATCTTATATAAAATATAAAATCTTAAGACTTAGAAAATATTAGGCATAAAGATTCAATAAGCAAATAAAGTATCCAAATTAATGTTCAAACTTGCCGAAGGCATAAAATCGCAAGGCCCACTTTTATCCGCAAGCGATGTGTGTGTCTCTCCAATGTTGGAGTCAATGCAAATCGCTGTTTGTTTGGTATTTAAAAAAAGACAGCGATGACAAACAAATCATCGTCGCCATGATTGTGAAAGGTTTTTTTCTTTCCACAAGAGCTCTCTCGCGCGCCGGTCTCATTATTTGCAATAATTCGTCGTAATGTCTTTTAATGTTGTCTTCTTCTCCTCTGAATATCCAACAAATAGACTAGTTAGACCTGACTTAAGCCAGACTTAAACTAGGTGTACCCCAGGTTTAAATATGTGTACAATTTCCACAGAGTTAGACCAGGCTTAAACCTAGGTTTAAGTTAAACCCGACTTCAGAAACGCAAAATTAAACCTAGGTTTAAATCTGAGAGTTAGGCGAGGCTTAGACTAGACTTAAACCTAGGTTTAAAGTTAAACCTGACTTCAGAATACGGGCCTTTGGGTGTCACGAGGTCAAAAGTCACATGATTCATTATATATGCAACAATAGCCTGTAATAGCATTATCTCAAGAACCGATTGCTGGATTCCCTTTTATGAATATTCATGAGTTTTCTAAATACATGATTGGTCAATTGGTGGTCACGTGATAAAATATAATTTCACTATTTGAAACAAATCTCTGCCAGAGCTCCGAATATCTTCCACTATTTTTTCATGGGCAGAACTGCGCATGCTCTATGAGATTTGCAGGTAGAAAAGCATTGTGACGTCACATCATGTTCAGTCAAAAATAATGCGCAATTAGCGCGTCTCATTAAATGCGCGTTAATATAACTGTACGCAGGTTAAATTGACAAATTCAAACTGATTAGGCGGTGTCACACAGAAAAATCCCGACCTATCTTGAATAAACCAGATTTAAGAAATCTATTTTTTCATTTCAGTCGGTGACAGACAGGTTACGAATAATCCGGATAACTAAAAACCGGATTGTTGATGGGCCATTGGGCACGCGCCGTTTAAGCATTGTGACACTACACGTTCAATCGAAAGTATGCGCCGTTTAGGTAGATAAGCATTGTGACATCACACGTTTAAATGAGCGCATTTAAACGTGTGATGTCACAATGCTTATTTATAGGGATTATTTCAACATTGGTGTCACACAGAAAAATCCCATAAATAAACCCATGAAAAATCCTTTCAAGGGAGAATTATCTTGCTTCATATGAGGTTTTTTGAAGGGATTTTTGAAGGGTTTTTTGAAGGGATAATTGATGTCAGACAGCCAAAAAGAGGATAATTAAAAACCGGATAACTAAAATCCGGATTTTGGGGCTCTGTGTGACACCGCCTATTATAAACTTCTCCAATACCCACTGTGGGTGACATATAAAGTTAAAAACCCTATTGCCAGCCAATCATTAATCAAACGCCAAACCTGGTTGATGTGTATCTTGCAGAGCCATTGAACTCATTAGATTTTGGGGTCACGAGGTCAAACGTCACAGGGCTCATGTATGCACAAAATAGTTTGTGATCACATTATCATTAGAACCGATTGACGTATTACAAGCAGACTCAATACGTATATTGCAGAGCCAATGATCTGATTAGATTTTAGTGTCATGAGGTCAAAGATTAAAGGGGTCATACAGCGTGTCCACACACAAAACAATTTATCCCGAAACTCTATAACGAAACGTCGTATAAAGAATCATCATATAAATTTCAGAGTGTCAACACACAAGAAACGTCGTATAAATAATCACCGTATAAATTCCAGGATGTCCACACACAGAAGAAAGTAATCCTGAAATTCTACAGCGAAATGTTGTATAGGTGCGCAGTTTGCTACTGCGGTCATGAAATGGAAGCGGAAATGAGAGGTCTGGTCTCCTTTCACTCGAGGTCACGTTAAGCCCCGCCCAGTTAGTTACACTAGTTACACCCCCCCCCCCCCCCCCCCCCCCCCGTCCACACACAACATTTTTCGTGATTAGGCGTGATTCTTTATTGAGTTTCAGTTCGAAACGATGCCCAAACCTGCGTTTCGTTAGACTTGTTCCGTTATACGACGTATCGTGAGTGAGCGTCCACACACACAATTTCATCGTAAAACTATCGCGAAATCATATACAAAATCAAGTTTGATTATAATCCATTAACAGGTTCTTAGAATATCGTGATTACAAGCTATTTATCGTAAACATGTATGACCGCTTTAATGTTTGACCTCAAGACACTAAGATTTAATCAGATCATTGGCTCTGAAAGATACGTATTGAGTCTGCTGGTAATCCGTCAATCGGTTTTAATGATAATGTGATCACAAACTATTTTAGCATACATGAGCCCTGTGACCTTTGACCTCGTGACCCCAAAATCTAACCAGTGCATTAATAATAATAATAATAATAATAATGTAACTTATATCGCGCCAAATCCACTCCGTGGAGTGCTCAAGGCGCGTGTAAACAGGAAAAACGATCAAGACT